CATAACTCAAGACAAAAATTCAATAATTTAACTTCTGTAGCGAAGTAAATCAGTCAGCAATTAACTCGACCGTATCTGTGCATGTTAGGGCTGCAACTAATGATTATATATTTGCAGATTATTTTTTTGATTTATCTGTTTATTGTTTTATCCAGAATATAGTAAAACATGCAAGTTATAATTTCCCACGGACCAAAGTGACTTCGTATATTCAGTTTATTATCATGTGTGACAAAGAAAAGCATCAAATCCTCATATTTTAGAAGTTAAATGTAAAAATAAAAATATTTAGGCTTTTATTTTCTTTAAAAAAATTACACATTCGATTATCAAAATTGCTGCGGGTCGATTGAGTTATTAATTAATTGATCAATCAGTGCAGCTTTAGTGCACATATGTAATATCTCCTAATAAAAACTGTGTGTACTGATAATAACACACGACTAACGACACTTTCTGAAAGCTGCGCAGTGAACTGAGTGACATCCTTCTACCGACACACACACACACACACACACGTGCGTGTGCACGCAGTCATACACACCTAAATGTTTATATGCGCATATATATGTGTGATGTAGGTGTGTGTTTGCACTTGAGACGGCCCCTGTAGTGTTTTGATTAGCACCTTAAATTAACATGCACCGTGAAATTACCCACCCACTCAGCAGCGGCAATTATGTGCTCCACACACTCGTTGACCGCTTCCACTGCCGAGTGTTTATGCGCATATGGTCGCAGTTTAATGCGACTCAAAATAATATTGAGTGAGAGGCGCACGAGGATAATGTGAGTCATTATATCATCATCATTTCCCTCTTTCTCCCTCTCGTCTGCGTCTCTGCAGGAGAACGCCGTGAACGGGGATCACCTGTGGATGGAGACGAGTTGTTCAGGAGAGCTGTGTTATCTCGGAGAGGACACCTGCCTGCTGAAGACCGCAGTGAGTGGTGTACACACTGACCGCTCCTGTGTGTGTGTGTGTGTGTGTGTGTGTGTGTATGTGTGTGTGAGAGATAAAGAGAAAGCGAGAGGTTTTCTGAGGTTTACCAAGAAGCAGCAAATTCTTACATGTAAGTGACTTTTTATTCCTCCACACGGCGACAGTCAGAGCTGGAGGCCATATTGTTTTCAGGTTGTCCGTCCGTATCTCAGTAACGCCTTGACGGAACCTCTTCAAATTTGGCATAAATGTCCACTTGGACACAGAAGTGATTAGATTTTGGTGGTCAAAGGTCAAAGGTCAAAGGTGAACACTTTTTAGCCATTACTCAAGACTTCACTACAACATGGCTAATATTTGATATGACTGGATAAACAGGGATGTAACCTGAAACTAGTCTAAGTGGCGGAGGGATACAAACACCAAAGATTTTTATTCTTATCATGTTTGACAATTTTCCTGTAGTAATAATAATAATAATAATAATAATAATTAATTATAGGATTTTATTTGATTATTTAGCTCCTACAACAGCATAAAAACTGATAACAGACATAAAACCTATGTGACAGGAGAGATCAGATTACCAGGAGTTAATACAGTGAACCTTTATTTGTGAATTCTGAATATATGTGCAGTTGTGTTTTAGTGTCAGTCACTTAATTATTTCTTTAACAAAATATAAAAAAAACAAACAGTAAGCAGAAGACAAGGTGACATTATTAAATATCTTGTTTTGTCCAAAACTCCAAAATACTATAATTTAAGACAAAAGGAAAGTGATGAATTCTCACATTTGAACCTTGAATCATCAAATAGTTGGTAATTTCTTCTTAGTAATAATTGTAATGATAATAATAATGAAACAATTATCGAAGCTCTAGTGGTTTTTTTGTGACGTGTAGAGTGAATGTGTGTTGTGGTGCGATTTGACGTTGTGAAACTCATATCTTATCATAGTGTCACATACATTCATATATTGGTTGACTGAACCAGCTGTTTGTTTACGAATCTAACAGCTGATAAAATTTAACAGCTACATAATCAAACTGTATCATCATATCAGACTTCATCAAAAGATAAAGTGGGAAGACAGAGAACACACTGAAGTGTAATTTCTGAACGTATGCTGTTTAATCTTAGTTTAGCGCTGCATGTGAAGAGTTAACGTTGGATTAAATTAAACATGTAATCTTTATTTTTGAATTTGAAAATAAATGAAATGCATGAAATATGCTCTGCTTTATCTTTCATGTATCACGACCAGAACAAATCCTGGCTCATGGACAGAGCAGGTGGTCTGAGTGTTTTGTCCCCTCTGGTAATTTAGCGTTATTTTAAACAGGATGCCTCGCACTCATTCAGATGAGCCATGTCCACAAAGCAGCAGCAGAAGAAGAAATTACCCAGAAAACAGAGTCAGTGAATTAACCACGAACACGCAGAGCCACGTGAAAAATCAGATTTAGACCTTTTTCTCCGACCTCACTCCTCCGCCTGAGAAGTAACCTTTAATTCTGACAATAACATAATGACATATCTGTACATTTCCATCGAGCAATTACACTGAGCGTAAAAGAACGTGGCGAGGCTGCTGCCAGTAAGACGGAGCTGCAGCAGAAAGAAATGCACCATAATCTCTCTCTCTCTCTCGCTCTCTCTCTCTCTCTCTCTCTCTCTCTCTCTCTCTCGTGAATTTAATTAGATAAATGTTCCATTAGCGTGGTGATGCGTTGTGCCTTCTTAAAAGGGAGGCCTGACCTCGGTGGAATCTGAGGTTGCTTCCACGAGTCACGGTCAACATGAATAAGCACATTCCTACCTGTTCTCAGCTGGATACGGATGATTTAATCTTATTCATCGAGGAAGAAACCTGGCAGCGTGAAGGCTGCAGCTGCACTGTAGGAAACGCCGCCTGTCACATGTGTTTACAAGTCCTCGCTGCGGTTCAACGGGGACAGAGGCAAAAGACTAAAGTGTCAGTAGGTAGTAGGTAGTGAATAATACGACAGTTATGACAGAGTTTTGACAGAGCAACATTATCTCTGTGATTCAAATCAAATGTTGAAACTATGAGAGAAACAAACCCAAATTAAAACAGAGGGGAAACCAGCCAGCCTCCAAATAATGTACAATATACCCTCCGTTAATACATAAGGACAAACACTGAGTCCAACAGAGACGTCTGGTTAAAACTCTGAGGAGGAGAACTCGTCTGAAACGGAGAGAGCGAGCCAGAAGAGAAAGTGATCGGTTGTAGAAGAATGTGATTGGAAGAGATTCAGGATTCTGCCTCACCTGCCTCCTTTCCCTCACCTGGCACAAGTCAAGGAATGAAAACAGCCGCTCAGTGTTGTATGTCCCTGTTTATGGTGTAAATTTAAGAGTTTCTTTTTACAACAGCATGTAAACGTGAGCGAACTGGATGAGTTTCTGATGAGTTTGGAAAGGCGAGGTCAGTGAATCCACTTTGTGACGCACTGTCCACACTCACTGCTGTTGTTGTGCTGACTGAGAAGGGTTTGGAGAAAGTAAAGAAGTGAGCCAAACAACAAAACCACTGGGGCTTCAGTTTTCTACTTAAGTATGACTCTTAAAAAGTTGAATTAAGTCAAAGGGAGTTACTTAAGCTTGTTTCACAGAATCTCTTTAAAAGGTTTCTCTTTGTTGAGGCGTTTTGCAGCAGTGAAAGAGATTTTACAGCTGTAGAATTCTACGGTTTCCATGGAGACCGTTTGTTTGCCGGCATTAGCTCTTCCCATGGTGGAGAACTCTTGTTGAGATGTTCGTCCTCTTCATTCATCACCATAAACTCAGACATGCTGCTGTTAAGATACAGTCAGAGGTACTTTAAGTTTTTTCCCTTAGTTTGGTCACTAAGGTCTTTACTGACTTTAAGTAATTTCTTAAGTATAACACTGAGATACGGAGAAAAACTGTAACTCGGACTTTAAGGTAATTCTTCAGATGCTTTGTGCAACTGGCCCCTGGTTCTTAGGTCATCTGTGATGTGAAATAATCTCATACTTCCCTTTTCTTAAAACTGTTAAAGACTTCTTGAATTACTTGACTTACTTTTACTTCCCTCAATACAAAAGCGTCACGAATGTAATTAAGACTGGGTCGAGCCTCTTTTGGTCAACATGACTCAGTGTTGCAGTTTCCTCAGTCGCGACGTCTTGAAACGGAAGATCTTCCTCAGTCTGATGTATTTGTTGTTCAAGATTTGTATGTTTGTTTGCTGTTTTCTTTCTGTGCCATTAAGAGCTGCTCACTGTGACGGTGAAGAGCGAACCCAGCGACCGCTCCACTATCAGCTGCCACATTATTACACTTAATGAGTAGTTGGGCTGTTGTAAGAAGAGCAAGGGCAGCTGGGGAATATTATTTATTGAGGGCAAACAGCACTTTGGCATCTTGAGTGTTTTGCCTATTATTTTTTATTGCCAGTTACAGTGTGTGATAAATGACCGAGGCATCTCCGAGCCATCAGTTCAACTCTGTCTTCCACCCCTGATTTATACTTGTCGTTTTCATTAGCAGAAATAATATGTTTGCTTTTAGCTGGTCCTGGAGAACATGACAGCTCAACAACCAACTTATCTTATCTTAACTTATCTTATCTTAACTTATCTTTTCTTATCTTATCTTTTCTTAGAAATTTTCCCTCTTCCTGTGAAATAAAGACATGTACAGGATGTACTGTCACAGAGTTTCGCGCAGACATTCATGTCCTCTTAAGTAACAACTTTGAATTAATCTTTATTTGTCCAATACTTTGTTTCATGACTAAATACCTGCAAAAACATTCCCATCAGCCTCAGCAGGTCGGTGTGTTGCTTTCAGAGGCGACAACATTTTTTTTCACCTTGACTCGCGTCTGGTGAAGAAAAAATAACTGAAACTGTAAAATGTCACTGAACGCTTTTTCAACTCAGTGAGAAGAGAAGTGAAATGTTTGGGCACATTTGTGTGTGTGTGTGTGTGTGTGTGTGTGTTTTTGGTGTGTTCATGTATCTCACCGCTCTCTGTGTTTGTGTCTGTTTTCTCCTTTAAGAAGTCGGCCCCCAGGAGGAAATGCGCAGCCTGTAAGATCGTTGTTCACACCGGCTGCATAGAGCAACTAGAGAAGGTACACACACACACACACACACACACACACACACACACACACACACACACACACACACACACACACACACACATTTTTACAGAAGTTGTGTCTCATTTGACACTGTTTGGCCTAATGATTGAGATGCACTCAGTGTTAATTTTATACTTTAATTAAATATAGACATTATGTAAATGTCCTTTAAATGTCGCCACGTCCTAATTATGTCAATAATTATGTCTTAATGAACTCGCATTGATTGAATTTGAGCACAGTGAGATTTTTGTCTGCAGCACTTTTTTCACTGTGGGAACATTTTATTAGGATTACATAAGTGTAAATGATTATTTATGTGTGGCAGTTGGTAAATATTCATTTAAATATTCACTTTTCTTTGTCTTAGCCTTTGGTAATGTCTGATACGTATTTTATCTACATTATATCTCTATGTTATTTTATCTTATTATTTAATCTATATTATATACCTATTTATTGTTTTTACATATTCTGTTGCCTCTTTTTTACTTAGTGTCAGACTTTTTGTATAATGTTGATTTGAGATGTTTTTTATTTGTTCTACACTTTATGACGCTCATCTTGGATGTTTCTTTTATCTGGTTTTACTTTCTTGTAAAGCACTTTGTGACTTTGTTAAGAAAAGCACTAAATAAATAAAGTTATTGTTTTGTTGTTATGTGGTTGTGTGCCGTCCTGGTATTAATATTATTTGGTGTTTTGTCCCAAAATTCAGTGTTTATTTCTTTATTTTTTGTCTCTCTGTTCAGATTAACTTCCGCTGTAAACCAACCTTCAGAGAGGGAGGATCCCGATGCCTCAGGGATGTAAGTGTGTGTGTGTGTGTGTGTGTGTGGTTGTGTAAATATGTGTGTGACTGTACAGATGTGAATGATTGTGTATCACGTTTACACTGTGAGAGAAAGACGACGTCAGCTTTTTCTCTCTGGCAGCAGAACATACTGAGACATCACTGGGTCCACAGACGACGACAAGAAGGCAAATGTAGACAGTGTGGAAAGGTAAACGTGCACACGCACATACACATGCACACACACACACACACGCTGTTATGTTGTTCAGTTATTAGTGTTCCTACAGACGACCTCGGGGTATCTCTGTTTGTTTCCGCAGAGTTTCCAGCAGAAGTTCTTCCACAGTAAAGAAATCATCGCCATCAGCTGTTCCTGGTGTAAACAGGCTGTAAGTATCTCGTCCTCTGTAATAATCACTGCAGAGTAAAACTGGTATTTACAGGATTAAATTAAAATGAACACATCATTGTCAGGAACATTTTAGTGTAAATATATGACAAACATATTGAATATATGCGTAAGAATCTGTGTCTCATCATGCGTCTAAAAAACTACTCTAATTATGCGATAGGTGGCGCTATAATAATGAAGTTTACATATTTTCTTCTTTCTCATTTGCTAAAGTCAAAATTCTTTTGACATTTTTATGCTTTACTTATTTTTTTGCTTTAAAAATTATTCATTTTTCAGACATTTAAAAAAAGAAACGAACATAAACCTAAAACGAACCAGTATTATTATTTGTTGTTAATGTTATTTCCACATCCAAGCGTCTCATTTAACACACACACACACACACACACACTGATGAAGAGTGTAGAAATCTCTCATCACCTCTCTGCTGCTGATTCTCCGTTCGCACATAAACATCTCTAAAAATTCTTTGAATAAATGAAAAGAAACAAACCTTGAGTAAATAAATCATCCGTCTGAGGGCTGGAGCCAGAGGCTGGAGAACGGCACTAAAGCAAAACACCAGAGTTAATAATAAATGTTATTCTGGAGCTGTTTATTGATAGAAATTATATTAATAATCACAGTTTCTGAAACTTTAAAGGGTCAGTTTGTCCTAAATACAAAACTTTGGATGATTTTTCATGTTTTTTTACTTTTTATTCAGTCATCACACATAATACAGTAAATATAAACAATATATATGAAAAAAACTAAAGAAGAAAAAACAGAGTCAACTGTCTGTATTGAAAGTTAATGCTTCTATCTGCCTGTCTACATTCTTATCAATTAAGCTCTGCACCAATAGAACAGACAGTTATTCAAACTTCAACCCTCAGAAATATTTCTATAAACCATTTCTTATAAGAACCAAAAGGATATTACACATTATTTAAAAAAAAAAAAATCATATTAGTATTGATCTATAATTTAAAAAATAAAGAAATCATTCACATTTATAACCCTCAAAAACGGCTTTACAGATCATTCTTATGAAAACCGAATTACACATTGTAAAATTGAAATCAGCATTGTTCCATAATTTAACCCCAACCACAGAAACACGTCTCCTTTTTATCCCTTTTTTAGCTTTTTGTACAAACACCTCTCAGATCATATTTGTTCTCCTTTATTGAAATAAACTTTATTACACTGTAGCTCTGAACATTATTCACATTATTTTATACTTTGCTAAAACACTGAAAATTATGTGGATTCACAGTTGTTATTGGAGCTATTTTCTGAATTATTCCAATGAACATGTGCATGTGGGCCGTTCTCCATCATATATTTCTGAAGAAAATAAAAAACTAAATAAAACTGAAACCCTTCACTTACATACACCTGCATGATTTATATAAAAAGCATCATCAACTTCTTTCTAATGAAGAATGAGTCCCCGAAGAAACAAACCAAATAAAACCAAAACTACTTTCTTTCTTTTCTTTAATTGAGGTCATTTGGGTGAAATGAGCCTTTAAAAGACGGAGTTTACAGGTGTGGCTCAGGTGTCTTTGATCACATGATCAATAAAGAGGAGAAACAATAACGAGGTTTTGTTGTTGTCGCAGTTCCACAACAAGGTGACGTGTTTCATGCTGCACCAGATTGAGGAGCCGTGTTCACTGGGGGCCCACGCTGGAGTCATAGTCCCACCGTCCTGGATCATCAAAGTCAGGAAACCACAGGTGTACACACACATTCACACACATGCACGCACGCACACACACACACACACACACACACACACACACACACACACCAGTCGGTCCACTGGTTGATGAAGTTCACTGTCTGTCATTTGGTGACATTAATGTGAAATGACTCGTTGGATCTAAATATAAAACCCTAAAAGAGAGCCAGTGTCAAAAACTGTGTGTGTGTGTGTGTGTGTGTCTGTGTGTGTGTGTGTGTGTCTGTGTGTCTGTGTGTCTGTGTGTGTGTGTGTGTGTGTGTGTGCGTGAGAGAGAGAGATACTGGTCATGATGTGATATGAGCTGACACATGTCTGATCTGTCTGAGGTAACTCCGTGTCTCTGTCAACACACACAGACACACACAGACACACACACACACACACACACACACACACACACACACACACACACACACACATACCCCTCAGCACCATCAACATGCTCATTGCACTTTTAATTACCATCACAAGGGACACGGTGACAGTGAACTAACCACTGAACTTTTTGTCTGTGTGTGTGTGTGTCTGTGTGTGTGTGTGTGTGTGTGTGTGTGTGTGTGTGTGTGTGTGTGTGTGTGTGTGTGTGTACCCCAGAGCTCACTTAAGAACTCTGCCAGGAGAAAAAAGCGGACATCTTTCAAACGAAGGACGAGCAAGAAGGGACTGGACGTAAGTAACATGACGGAGAACATTTGTCGTGAGTCTTTGTCGAAGGTTCAGATTCATTTATTTTTCTTCCATTTCCTTTTTTCTTCCCGTCCGAACCGTTGTGTGTCCTCCATTTTCTTCCGTGTATTCCTGTCTCGTTCTCTAGGAGTCTAAATGGCGTCCGTTCATGTTGAAGCCGCTCCCCTCTCCTCTCATGAAGCCCATCTTGGTTTTCGTCAACCCCAAGAGTGGAGGCAACCAGGTCAGCAAACCTCTTCATCTTTTAATAAAGACAGCGGACCCGCGAACACAAGCTAGCTTTATTTAAATGTAATTTATATTCACTCTTTACTGTCAGTTTCACAAATACTTATTATACGCTGCATTCAACTGCGTCACGAAAGAGATAACATCATGTTGCATCATGACAGTATCAGATTTTAATAAAAGAAGATCTGTTATTCATTTACTCCTCCACCGCCTGGATCTCAACAGGATGTTGTGGAGGTGATGTATTTAAAATGACATAAAACTCTTTTATCACAGCCTACACATGTTATTAAAATCCTCCCAGTTGCCAGTGACACAACATTTAATTAGGTAGATGTCGGTTCAAACGGGTTTAGTTTTATCAGATGATCTGAGTTCACGGAAGAACTTCATCATCATTATAACATCAGGATGGATTTGAATGGCTGATGACAATTACAGGCGAAAACAAGGAACTTCTCAAAGGGTTCGAGATTGTTTTCTTGTTAATGATAAACTTTTATTCTACACGTCTCCGTCTGTAGGGTGCCAAGGTGTTACAGATGTTCATGTGGATCTTGAACCCGCGGCAGGTGTTCGACCTGTCACAGGGCGGGCTGCGAGAGGCGTAAGTATCCGTCAGAAGAGGAAAGTGTCGGGCTTGTTATTGTTTTTTTAAACTAGGAAACAGTTCACGAGCGTAAAGAATAAAAAACTTCTACTTAAATCTTCATTTCACAATCCACCGCTGAGGGGGGAGAGTACTGAATCTTCTCAGTTCAGCTTTAGTCATTATCCTCTTTTAAACACACACTGCCCATGGGTCGAGCTATTTACATGAAACTTGGACCAATTACACCCACACTACACCAATCAGCTGCTTTTATTCCACAACCAGCCTCTCTCTCTCTCTCTCTCTCTCTCTCTCTCTCTCTCTCTCTGCTGCGTGTGAATCCTTTAGGTTGGAGTTGTATCGTAAAGTGCCAAATCTGAGGATCCTCGCCTGCGGAGGGGACGGCACGGTGAGACTCTATTCTATTCTATTTGTGTTACATAAACTCAGAGCCGGAGGAATATCGTTTTCAGGTTGTCTGTATATCCGTTAACGTAGTCCCATTCTGGCAAACTACTACTGCTTAATCTCAGTAATGCCTCGATGGATTTTTCTTCAAATTGGTGGAGCACAAACTTCAGTCTTGAGACTAATTGGATGAACTGATCAGGTAATTTTGGTGGTAAGAGGTCAAAAGGTCAAGGTCACGTGACCTACAAAT